GAAAATATATAAAAAACTGAAAAACATGTAACCATTGACTTTAATTGTACAAAAAAACTAAAGGTTTGGAGTTCTACGGTTTTTAGCTTTTTTCAAAACATCTTCTTTTGTGTTCAACAGAAGAAAGAAACTCAAACAGGTGTGGAACAAGTAAGGGGTGAGTAAATGATGAAATTTTTGTGTGAGCTATTCCTTTAACAAGAAAAACTGTAAGCTTTAAAGGGATACTTCTCCCAAAATTAAATTGATGCTTTCTGTTGTACTTACTTTTCTGTTATGAGTAAACCATACCCCTAAAAGCAGTTTTAAAGGGTTAGTTCACCCAAAATGTACATTTTGTAATCATTAACTCACCCTCTTTTTATTCTAAAACTGTTTTAGTTTCTTTTGAACACAAAGAACATATTTTGAAGAATGCTGTAGTAGCTTTTACATAACCAGACAGTAATCAGTACACTGCAAAAATCTTACTTAGATTTTTTCTGTCTTGTTTCAGTCCAAATATCTAAAAAAAGTTTAAGTCATTTTCTTGACAATCAAAAATTGTCATATTTTAAGAAATAATATGCCAAAATTAAAACAAAGCAAACTTAAAACAAGCAAAATAATCTGCAAATGGGGTACGCACAATAAGCTTGTTATTCTTTATGACATAAAATTATTGTGCTTACCCCTATTGCAGATTATTTTGCTTGTTTTAAGGAGAAACTCTCTTCATTTTAACATATGATTACTTAAAAGAAGACCATATGTTTGCTTGATTTTAAATGTTTTTAGATATTTGGACTAGAAACAGGACAAAAAAAGCATTTTTTGCAGCGTACCCATTGACTTCCATATGATTTGTTTTTTTCTGGTATGAATGACAATGGTTACCAGTTTCCAACATTCTTCAACCATAAAACTGATTAAGGTTTAATAGTAAAAAGTAGTTAAATAAATCTTTTGAAGCTGTACAGTGATTTTGTGCAAGAAACACACTTAAATGTAGGACATTATTCACAGATTATCTATTAGCAATGAGTTGTTAACCACTAAAAACCCAAATATTGAATAGAACTTGAGGATTGCAACAAATATACTACAAAGTGCATTATAAATCAACTTCCTGACAATAATAAAACATTCAAGGAGTAGGAATATCTTCATTATTCATGTTCGTTGAAAGGGCAAGTGTGATAAATGGTTTGTGGTCACAACAGACAATATACACTGATCCAATTCAAAAGGCTATAAAAAATACAATGCATTTGATGTTTACATTATAAGATGCAGGTCATTTAAAAAAGTGTATGCGATCACATTTTTATTTTATTTGTATTTTAAGTGTATTCTTTTTAGAATTATGCATATAAAATACAGCTAAATGTACATATTAAAAAAAAAACTGTATATGCCAAATATGTTGTATAAATTGCTATACAAAACCGTACATTTTAATTATACCTAGGCTAATTTAATTGAACGTTTTTTACTTCTTGAAATGTTTCTTTCATAAGTTACTTCTGAGTGGAATAGATTCAGTGTTTGGAAAGTAACTCCAGTATTTGACATTTACTTTATCCACATCAGCAACATTTTAACCACCTCCTCTTTTCAGACTTGCTGCAAGGTGCCGTCTATGAGCACTCCAATTGATTTTCCCCCTGTCCATATACATATCTCTTCCTCATTTTAGTGCATCTACAATTGATTTTCTGATTTGATGGGACATCTCTGCTGGTGCTCATCCCAGTTATACCTTGCTCGTAATGCTCAAGGTATTAGGAGCACATACCTGCACCAGCATTATTGTGGTCAGTGATGTGCATTATTGATTACTATCTTTGAAAGTGCCCCGGTAATGGGTTTTGAATAATACCTTTCGTGTATGAATGCACAGAAAATGCCTTAATGTCAACTTTGACTCTCATGTTAAGAAAATGACATGTTGAGAAAAGGCTGTGAAAGCAAATACATATATGACGCATTCATTTCCAAAAGATAAGCATTCTGATTTGAATTGATACAGTAGATCTGATGTCGTATCATTTATATCACTATGTTTACACATGTATAGGAAGACTATAGAGCTGGAATTCAGATATGGTTATGTATTTATTTGACATAGACAAAGTATTTAGTTTAAGAGACACACTGAATGCTGTCAACCAGTCAGAACAAACTGGACCAACTATCTGACCAATCAGAGCAGAGCAGACCCTTGAAAAGGAGGGGTTTAGACTAGAGACCAGATTCTTGAACAAGCTGTTTCGAAACAATTTGATGATGCTTGGGCTGCAGCTATCGATTGTTTTAATAATCATAATCGATAATTACCAATAATTAATCATAATCGATCTATTAATCAGATGAGCTTTTTCCATGTTCTTTAAAGATCTTGTGACTGAAATGCAACAGAGCGCTAAATAATAATAATTATAAAAAAGTGTTATGGATGTGATAGACATAGACTGTAAACAGTCAACCAATAAAAACAGACTGGGCCAACCATCTGACCAATCAGAGCAGAGCAATCTCTCAAAAAGGAGGAGTTTTAGAAACCATTATTGAATAATCTGTTTCAGAAAATATAAGGCGATAAAACAGAAGTTCATGTTATGAGGAAACAGATGTTTTTTTGTTTTTTTTTTTACCTCAGATAGATGTTGTATTAGGCCTTTAAAATAAATCAGACTATTCACCCGGGCGCCTGTTTACCATCTAATATCTTCCAATCAAGACAGGATGCTTAAATCCTGACACGTTGGATCGGCATGGCGTGAAAACCTGTGTCAGGGGAATCAGAACACTGTTTCTATTGATCAGAATGAGAGGCTGAAATATTATCTGGGTTACCTTGAAGTACAGCACTTTGTCTGGACAGGTGGATGATGCTGAAAAGTATGGGCCTACTTCACCAGGATGCATTCTTTAAAGTTAAAAATCAAACACTTCACATACATTGTACTACTGTATGTAGGGGTAACATACCTTGTTGATGGTTTTTGAGTGATGATTGACCAGTGAAATATGCACACGGAGTAATAATGCCTTTTCATTTTATGTCAGATCAGATCATGTTATTGGTGTGTTTATATGCTGTCTTTTAGCATATTTGTCTAGTCAAGCGAGCCACTTAATTTTCTTTGACACTTGCTATCGGCACTATCCGAAAATCTGCTAATATCTTGATCATTTAAGATAAATGAGTATGTCATTGGACAAAGTTATGTTAATGCAATAAGTCTATGTTTAAGTTATACTAGGTTTACGAAGGAGCTTTCAATTAGAAGTTTAAGAATGAAATACTAGCATGAAGCTAATTGGACAATGTGCACTATTTGTAAACAAAGCATACTGAGGTAAAATAATAATAAAGAGTCACTTACTACCACATACCATTCATTCATTCATTCATTCATTCATTCATTTTCTTTTCGGCTTAGTCCCTTTATTAATCTGGGGTCGCCACAGCGGAATGAACTGCCAACTTATCCAGCATATGTTTTACTCAGCATATGCCCTTCCAGCTGCAACCTACATGTATTACTGGGAAATGCCCATACATTCTCATTCACACACATACAGTACGGACAATTTAGCATTACCCAATTCATCTATACCGCATGTCTTTTGACTTGTGGGGGAAACCGAAGCACCTGGAGGAAACACTCATTATGTGCATCAAAAATTTATCAGATACATTTAGCAAGCATTTAAATAATATTTCTAGTAACAATTATTAAACTAGAATTTACTGAATGTGTTTTTGTACTGGTAGTTCTGCTGTTTAGGCCTGTTGTGGATAAATATGGTGCTAAAACTGCTGGTATGTGGTGACAAGTTCTTGTCTTTATACTTGATTATACTTGATACTTTATACTAACTTACTGACCCCTACATTTTAAACACTATACATACTACAAAAACACAACCTGTACTATAGTAGCTGTACTGTAACTATGCTTATCTTTTACTGTATATAGACATCTTTTTCTTGTCTTGTTTTAATGCTTGATTTATTACTTGACTCCTACATTTTAAACAACACCACACACACTGCACAAACACCACTTGTAAAATATATTTTTTTCTATCTTTTATATAGACATCTTTTTCTTTTCCTGTTTTAATGCTTGATTTATCACTTACTGACCCAAACATTTTAAATAACACTATACACATACTGCGAAAACGCCACTTGTAATATACACTCACCTGCCGCTTTATTAGGTACACCTTACTTTTACCGGGTTGGACCCTCTTTTGCCTTCAGAACTGCTTTAATCCTTCATGGCATAGATTCAGCAAGGTGCTGGAAATATTCCTCAGAGATTTTGGTTCATATACAGATTTGTCGGCTGCCCATCCATGATGCGAATCTCTCGTTCTACCAAATCCATAAGGTGCTCTATTCTGAACCATTGATGCAAGGCTGGATGGATCCATGCTTTTGTGTTGTTGAAGCCAAATTTTGACCCTACCATCCGAATGTCGCAGCAGAAATCGAGACTCATCAGAACCTCGGTTGTAACGAGTGCTTATTTGAGTTACTGTTGCCTTTCTATCAGCTTGAACCAGTCAGGCCATTCTCCTCTGGCCTCTGGCATCAACAAGGCATTTGCGCCCACAGAACTGCTGCTCGCTGGATATTTCCTCTTTTTCTGACTGTTGTCTGTAAACCTTAGATGGTTGTGTATGAAAATCCCAGTTGATCGGCAGTTTCTAAAATACTCAGACCAGCCCTTCTGGCACCAACAGCTATGACACGTTTAAAGTCCCTTAAATCACCTTCCTTCCCCATTCTGGTGTTCTGTTTGAACTGCAGCAGATCGTCTTGACCTTGTCTACATACCTAAATGCATAGAGTTGCTGTCATGGGATTGGCTGAATAGAAATTTGCATAAATAAGAAGTTGGACAGATGTACCTAATAAAGTGGACGATGAGTGTAGTAGTTGTAATGTATATTTTTTGATGTTGTTTTTCTTCTTTTCTCTGTCTTTAATTTTCCTGCAGGCATTTGGTCAGGCATACACCAACCAGCGTAAAGTAGCCGAGGATGGGGAGACAAATGAAGAGACGCTGCTGCAGGAGTCAGCCTCTAAAGAAGCCTATTACATGGGACGTCTGGATGACCTTCAATCCCAGCTCAAAGTGAGCAGCTCCGCAGCCTCCAACGCCCAAGCAGAGACCGAACACCTCAACGCCCTAATGCAGGAACTCAGAGAGGTGAGATGTGTTCAAATATTCTCTAAAATGTACTTTGAGCTATGGCTGCATGATATTGGAAAAATCTGACATTGCAATATTTTGTTTTTCAGCTATATATATATATATATATATATATATATATATATATTGCATTAGGAATACAATTTCACCAGATGGCTTAAATAGCTCTATTTGGAAAAAAAAATCATGAATTTAGATGGATTAGGGAGATCCTAATGTACAGTTGAAGCCAGATGGTTACATACACTCTAAAAAAAAACAACATAACCATTTTTTTTTTAAATGTCTGATGGTAAATCATACTAAATGTTTACTATTTTAGGTCTGTTAGGATTACCTAAATTATTTACATTTGTTAAATGCCAGAATAATGAGAGATATTTTTAAAAAAATGTTTTATTAATTTCTAGACAGTCAAACGTTTACACACATTTCATTGATATTTTTTAGCTTTGCTTTTAAACAGTATAACGTTGGTCAAATGTTTTGGGTATCCTTCCACAAGATTCTCACAATAGTTTAAAGGAATTTTGGCCCATTCTTCCTGACAGAACTGGTGTAACTGAGTCAAAACTGTTGGCTGTCTTGCTCGCACAAGCTTTTTCAACTCACAAATTTTCTATAGGATTGAGATCAGGGCTTTGTGATGGCCACTCTAAAACATGGTCTGTTTGGAAGACCCATTTGTGGCCAAGTTTTAATTTCCTGGCTTATGTCTTAAACTGTTGCTTCAGTGCTTTCTATGCTGTGAAGTGGACCAGTCCCTCCTGCAGCAAAATAGCCCCACAACATGATGCTGCCGCCCCCATACTTCAAATGTAACACTGGTCATTATGGCCAAACAGTTCAATCTTAGTTCCATCAGACCACAGGACATGTCTCCAAAAATTTTAATTTTCCCAGTGTAATTTAGCAAATTGTAACCTGGCTTTTTTGTTGATTCTGGCTTGTTGATTTTTTTTCCATGTTGTCACACAAGGAAGCAGTGTGTTTGAGGTTTTCCTTAAATACTATTCTACAGTTGTGCCTCCAATTAACTTAAATGTTGTCAATTAGCCAATCAGAAACTTCCAAAACCTTGACACCATCATCTTAGCTTTTTCAGAGGCATAATAATCTTATTGTATTTAAACTTGACTTTCAAGAAAAGTAATAACAATTTCTCAAAAAAATATATCTGTCATTATTCTACTATTAAACACAACAGAAACAAATGTGATAATCCTAACTTACCAAAAAGAGAAAAAGTTAAGTCACATTAACATCTGACTTTTTTTTTAAGGGTTATGTGCCTTTTTTACAGTGTATGTAAACTTCTGGTTTTAACTGTATATCAGGGGTTCTCAATGTTTACATTAAAAGGTCAAAATCTGAATTTTATTAAGGTCAAAGGTTCGTAATAATTGATATTACATAAATTATTTTTAATAAACATCCATTACATGTATCACAAGTCAACACTATTCATTTTTCTTTAAATAAAGTGACATTTGCATTCAAACACAATAAACACAATGCAAATGTGGCAAAACCACTAATATAAGTGCATTTTTATACAGAACACAACAAAAGGTAGGCCAATATCATCTGGATGCAGCCATGATGATGCAAGCTGAGACTACATATCTCAGAGATGCAATGTCAGACACAATGAACTGAGTAGAGCTAGTGATGTCATTGTGAGAGCTAGGGTTAGGTGTGGGAATTAAAAAGCTTTGCATGCAGGCCCACTGCACCAGGTCTGCATTCAGACCTCTCTCCAAAAAAAGTGAAAAATATAAAAGGTGTCTAATGAAAACTTTAAGTGTTGTAGTTTTGTGGTCCTTATATCTGTAATTTGTGGATACTGCCGTTCGAGATTACTGTGTTTTGATCATAGTGGGGTTTTACATTTCCACTCTTTACAACTCCAATTGTCTCATTACAAATAAATCAGAATGGCTTTGTGCTGGCTTGTGGCAAAATAAACGCACACCTATATGTCCATTCAACTTTGAACTGTCTATTCTCTTCACCATTTTCCGTGACACAGATGTCTTCATCCATTCAAATGATCGCTTTGCTGCGATGTGTTAAAGCTGGCGTGCACGCGATAAGCCTGCTCCATCACTTGAAGCCTCGTATGATCACTGGATGTCATGACAACAGAGTATATTGCCTTCGATTTTATTTTGGCCCAGATTTTTTATTTTTTCAACTAAACAGTTGATTTATATCGTTTGTGCATTTATCAATAAAGAAAAATCCACAATTTGAATCCTTTATGCACAGTCTTGCAATACGAAATGGAGTCGGGCCTGGAATTGAATACCCTTGAGGTCTGGATCCGGACCAGAGTCTGGACTTTGAGAAGCCCTCTTGTATATCAATCATGTATAAAATGAATAAATGTCAAACAGTATTCAGGCACAGAAATTGAATAGTGGAATGTAAAATAACACTGTATGATCTTCGTTGTATTAATAAGTCAATAAAATTAGTCGTCATTAAAACAACAAATGTTGTACAGTTTTGTGCCTGAATGCTTTAAATTTACTTGAAATTCCTTTAAAACGCATACAAATGAGAAAGATTCGCTCTGTTATGGCTATACTTTGCAATGACTCCACAAATCTCATCTCTACTGTTGTGCTGATAAACTATGATCCCTCAACATTGCATATTCTGCGATGTGACTATTGTGGACACACTTTGTGATATAGATGCTGAAATTATATGTTGTGCTGCCCTACTTTGGGCTAAATGGTCTGTTTTTTTTTCTTTCATGCTTTGTTACCTTATGGAATTTTTTTTTATTGAACAGGGATACTAGTTTGCCTTGTTTGCTTCAATAATTTGCTAAATTGTCTTAAAAAAGTGAAAAAGGATTGATAAAATCGTAAAATCATATTTTTTTTTCACGTTTAGCTTACTCTTAGTGCACAAACACACACAAAACATATATTAGTAGTGATTTGCAACATTTGTTTTAGAGGACTTCATCTTGGGTCAAAGGGTTATTTTGAGGGCAGTCAGTCTGTATGTGTAGTGTGTCAGCAGTCACTGGTGTCGGGGTCACAGACTGTCGCCATAGTGCATTGTAGGGGGCAAATCCGTGGCTAAGCTGGACCATAAGAGAAATGCCCTGAGGTCGGCACAAAGACACACTGTACACACACACACACACACAAACGGTAGTCCTATGAGACAGGGAATTTCACCAAGAATTTCACACTGGGTTCACATACCTATCAGTTTGAAAGAGCTTAATTACCACAGTGCACTCTGGTACTCAGAGAGACAACCTAGATTACATTAGTAATAGGTTTCATTCAGTAGCTAATGTTTTATGCCACACAGAAAATTATATCTGTGTTCATTTGTATCTGTTTTTCTGTTTGTAAATAAACACCAGTTAAACAAGAAAAACAATCCAGTACGCAAAACTGCATGAGATATAAGCATGGACTCAGTAAATGATTTAGAAAGGGATTTAGAAGATTTTTTTAAAATAATTTTACTGTTGTCTGAACCAACTTTGATGTTGGTTTGAGAATGTCTGAGCAGATGTTTTAAAAGCTTCAGTTTGAAAGTGTGATCTAGTTTGGCCTTTAAAAAATCTTAAAATTAAACATTTTAGGTCACCAGTTAATCACACATAAAAGTGTTTAGCACAGTTCTAGCCATATACGGTTGAAGTCAGAATTATTAGCCCCCCTTTGATTATTTTGTTTTCTTTTTTAAAGATTTCCCAAGTGATGTTTAACAGGGCAAGGAAATTTTCACAGTATGTCTGATAAAATGCTGGAGAAAGTCTTATTTGTTTTTTTCGTCTAGAATTTAAGGCCGTTTTAAATTTTTTAAAACCCATTTTAGAGTCAAATTATTAGCCCCATTAAGCTTTATTTTTTGAAAGTCTGCAGAACAAACCATCGTTATACAAAAACTTGCCTAATTACCCTAACCTGCCTAGTTAGCCTAATTAACCCAGTTAAGCCTTTAAATGTCACTTTAAGCTGTATAGAAAAAAAATCTGTCATGGAAAAATATCTAGTCAAATATTATTTACTGTCATCATGATAAAGATAAAATAAATCAGGTATTAGGAATCAGTTATTAAACTATTATGTTGAGAAATGTGTTGAAAAAGTCTCTCTGTTAAACAGAAATTGGGGAAAAAGGTCCCTGGTTTGAGGCCCGGCTGGGTCAGTTGGCATTTCTGTGTGGAGTTTGCATGTTCTCCCCGTGTTCGTGTGGGTTTCCTCCGGGTGCTCTGGTTTCCCCCTCAGTTCTAAGACATGTGGTATAGATGAATTGGGTAAGTTAAATTGGCAGTAGTTTATGTGTGTGAATGAGTGTGTATGGATGTTTCCCAGTACCTGTTTGTTGACCAATAAAAGAGGCTGTGAGCCGACCATTATTTTTGCAACATCATTTGATGCCACTAGACTAATTTTGGCCTTGGTCTACCTCATGATGTAGTTGAATCATTTCAGTCTTTTAACCAGCATTAGAGGTTTTTGGCATGGCACATGGTAGGTTTTCTCTAGTACTGGCTCATGCACTGCTCCTGACCCCTGAGTGTGTGAAGCCCATGATTACCACTGCTATAGAGCTGTACTGGGAGATAATTGTTCGGTAATCCTCTGGGGTGCATGTCCAGCTCATTTGAACGGGCACAGCAATGCTTTAAATATGCAATGAGACATCACATCCTCTACAAGAGCTGCAGTATTGTATACAGTAATCAATAACCTAGCTCATGAAAAGGTCATCAGCCAGGATGAGCAAAATATGTGACGCCATATCAGTGTTTGATTCTCTTATTCCAGTTATGAGTGCTGGATTTGTAGGAGATAGCTTTTAGACACATTTTTTTAGTCATAGACACTACAGTTTAACATTAAAATACACAGCAAAACAACTGCAAACATGTTTCATTGTCAAGTTCAAGAAATCAATGATGATTTAACAGTGTGAGTGTGTTATACTGCTGTAAGTAGCCCTCACAAGATACA